GGTGGTGCAAATGTGCATACTGGAGCAAAGATCAAACTCTGATTATCCTTTCAGAAATGCATGCATAATTAGGGGTGTTAACTTTTCAGTTTTAATTGAATCAATCGAACGAATCGAATTAGTTTGATTAATTCAATCAGTTACCTAATTAGTTCGATTGGGGAATGGTTAATATTTTTTCAATATTCAGTTAATGGGTAATTTGATTTGAAATCGGTTAATTAACCGAAATTATTAAATATTATATTATATTTATATATTAAATACATATTTTAAGCTCAAACCCATTAAAAATAATACTCAAAATTTTTAACCACACTACACTAATTAAATTATAAACATCTAATTAAATTTTAATTAAAAAAATACATATACTATATTCAAATTAATCTAATTAAAAAAATATAAAAAAAAAATTGGGTTAATTCGATTAACCGATCCAAATAATCAAACTTTATTCAATTTAATTAATATTTTTATAAAAAAAAATTCGGTTCGATCAACCGTTAAAATAAATCAATTAATTCAATTAATAAAAACTCAATTCAATGGAATAACAACGCAGCAAGGGTCAACAAGAGTGGCATACAGCCGTCTGCAACAGCAACAAGACTTAAAACCAAATATAATTTTTCTGTTTGAATATTAAACAAATATAAATTTTATATTAATTATATTTTTAATAAAATAATTTATAACTAAATTACATTCTAATAAAATTTAAACAAAACTTTTATAAAAGATTAATCAGAAAACGATCCTCATAATTTTTAATATTTTTTAAAAAGAATAATTTATTTAATAACATGATTTAATATGTTATATTAATAATATGTATTATACAACGTTCACTGTAAATTCATATATGCAAGAGATGGAAAGTATGTTTCTTCGAATTTTTAGATTCGGGTAGTTCTGTTGTACGGTAACCTAATATAAGACTAATGAAATGCGCTACAGGAAATGTTAATATTTTTTTAACATTTTCGGTAGAGTGATACCTAAAATATTATTATTTTTCCTATCAAAAATATTAATTTCATTACCTAAAATTAATATTTACGATATAAGCATTTCCGATAGAAAAAATAACATTTTAGTTAACACTCTATAAAAAATGTTAAAAAATATATTAATATTTTCAAGAACGTCTTTTCTTAATCTTATATTAGACGGACTTTCGACATCCCCTAAATTCAGTCAATGTAATAATAAGAAGACACCAAAACTGCACGTGTTGTGGTTGACCACGACAATCCAGACTGTTTGTGACCCAAGTCTCGCATTCTGGGCTTGCAACTGTACTCGCGTCGACCGGTAAACCTTTCTTTATGTTACACACCCAAAAAAGACGCAATGGTTAAAAATAAAAAGGCTTGCAAAATACAGCTTCAATTGGATCCTAGGTTGGTTGCGTATTGGGTTTTCTTGCCCAACAAGGCGGGTGCCAAAAATATTTGGCCCAATAGACCGTTCAAATCTTTATTCTGCAATATACGACAAATACTATAGTAATTAGGCAATTTATCATCTCGACGTGATAAGTTTAATTAAAAATATTTTTTTAACTGTCCCAGGTAAGTGAGTCCCGTGCAGATCAATATTTTAATATATTTATAGGAACTCGTCACTTCCCATAGGAAATTTATTAAAATTATTTTATTATGCATTGTATTAGTTTGTTAATTATTTTTGTAATAAAATTATTTTGTTAATTATTTAAAACATTATTTCTTAAATTAATTATTTTTTTAAATTATATTCGACCAAACTCTCATGTAGACATGACAAGTTTCAATGGTTATATTTTAATGATTCAAAATCTATCCGTTGTCCAATGGCTATTTTTTAATATTTAAGGGGAACTCATCACCTCTACTTAATGAGTTTAGGATAGTTTATATATATATATATATTTTAAATTATTTATTGAGTTTAAAAATATATAAATTTTCTACGAGACTCATCATGTCGATGTGACGAGTTCTTGTAAATATATTAAAATGTTGATCTACATGGGGCCAATTACCTATGACCATTAAAAAAATATTATCAAGCGAACTTATCACTTCGAGATGACAAATTGCCCAATTACTGTAGCATTTGTCATATATTGTAAAATAAAGATTTGAATGGGTTATTGGGTAAAAAATTTTCGGCGCCTACCCTATTGGACCAAAAAAACCTGGGTATTGCCTTCAGCTAGGCCTTCTCTATTGGTGGCGTGTGGAGCATTGTGAAGGGACTCATTCTGTTGATGTTTCAGTGTCGGCAAAAGACCACTTGTTTTTCATTCATATATTTTTTTTAATGCAAAGTTCACGTGGAATGATGGATTCCTTCTTTGGCTTGTTGCATTCGCTTCACTTCTCTGCTCCCTGTCTTCAACAATGAAAAGGACTATAAATAGCACCCAAAGAGTCGCTAAAATCTTGAGTTCATGAATCTGTGATTTGGTTTTGACATAATTAACAAAGATTTTAATTAAAAAAATGAATTTTATTAATTAGATTTAATAATTTATCGTATTCAGAATTTCTTACTATTAACATTTAACTGAATCAAATGGTGTTGAGTCAATATCATGATATAATTTATTTGTTATTATGTTTATATTTTTAAGATAATTTAATTTTAAACACAAATACCTCTCATGTTCTCATGGGAGTCCTCTTTGCAAGTCTAATGTTATTTGATCTCATCATCTTTGTATAGTTTTCTCTATTATTGAACTGCAAAAAGAAATATAAGAATGTGTAATTTAAGGCAATAAAACATAAAAAAATCTATAAAACTTGAAAAAGGATAATATTAAATTGTTTTCATGACATTAATCACGTGGTATGAAGAAAAACAAAACAAATAATAATGGATAGTGACATGTCTTATATCAAAGCTTTCACGAGTACCACGCCATAAGTGATGGGAGTTTCAGTCCCACCTCAAATGTCACTAGCTGATAGGGACCGAACCATATTATTAGTCGTTGGAAGGGTCCATTGGAAAATGAAATGAGAGCGGTGCCCCAAGGATTGATAATTGAGTGCTATTATTACCACTCTAACATGCAAGTCCCCCCTAAATTCTCTGTTATCGCTGCTATATGCCTTTTGTAAAATCTTGTTAAACTATAACAAGCCAAGCACTTGGACATTGGCCGTCGAGCATCTGGATCGATTATCAAATGACTATAATTATCATCTCGACATATCATTATGAGGCAAATTGGGGATTGTAATGAAAACACTGTGTATCATGTATGGACAAGGGATCCTTCAATTACGGGGACAACATGTTCAGATGCGCATTCAGACATAGTAACTGAAGTTTCATTTTCGCTGTCCTTTCTGCTGACTGGGGAACTCACCTAACATTAACAAAAAAGCAAAGACGACTCGGTTTAAAAAAAAAAACATGGAATTGTTCTCATTAGTCATCGCAAACGGACCATCTGGAACAATCTACGCCTTTAATTTTGCCTGTTTCATGGTTATCAAAAGTGGGTGCATTTCAGAATCTGCTTTCACAAAAGCTGCATAGCATTTGACTTGACGAATTTCAGCTTCAAGTGGTATTCTTGAAAAAGGGATGAATGTGCGGTATATGAAGTGGGGACTAACAAGAATCCCCACATGGATGATGGAAAATGATGACAAAGTTCCAATTTTTAACATTTAAAAAGACGAATTTTGTGCACATTACCTGGCTGCTGCCTTAACATCAAACCTCCCACTATCCCAATGGAATGATTTTAAGACATAATAATCGACTTACCCTATACATCGTTATCATCATCGTATACATATCAATACTATATCATTGTACACCAATATCAATATTACAAATATTCGAATCCAATATTATAAGAATCCTTAGAGAACATCAAATCTAAATAATTAAACTGAACATGCCTTGATAACACCTCTACCTAAAACAGGCGGAATTGAACAAGTGCAGGGACCCAGCTAGGTAGGTTACGTTCTGAGGTTTGAAATGTTCGGAAATAGGAGGAGTTTTTGGATAGGAACTTTGGCTACTGAAATGTCCCGATGTAGGGACATGGAAGCAATAACTTTCAGTAAACAAGTACGGTGGAAAAGATGCTTCTGAAACGGTTCCTTGGTTGGTGGAATGTCATTCAGTTAACAAAGCAACGATACTTGCTTCTTCTAGGTGCTCATTCTACATTCCACGAACTCCAGGTCCACTTGAAACCTGTTTGCCTCGTCTCAATTTAGTAATTTCAATGCTCTAATGGAGCAAAAAAGGAAAAAAAAAAACAGTCAAAATCCTAGCTGGATTAGATCCTATAATGTTTATAATTATGGTCTTAAATTACAATTGCAGTCACGGCTACAGTGTCATAATTATGATTCTTGCAGATGCTATGACATAATTCATTTTCTAAAATTTATTATGTTTTCAAACTAGAGATGCAATTGTGATGCTATAATAACCTTAAGATTCTAGTGCATATATAATATAGTATTGTATTTATAACAAAAGAATAAATATCCCGTCGGGAGTGGTTGACTAGTTGTAACTGAAACCTGCAGATATTCTTCGAGAATCAAAACTCAAGATAGAGGACAATTTTGCTGCAGTTTATTCACTGAATATGGAAACCACCGTTTAGTTTCCATTTTCATAAGGAAGAAACGAAAAACAAAGTTTTAACCTTTTTCTATGCATTCTATTCCTAAAGAAGGCAAATTCAATTTCTATAATGAACAACTTCAACTTTGTAAAAGACTGTTGTCCATTCATTTCTTTATGCATGCAAAATATTCAAGACATCAAGGATTTACATAATCCATCATAAAAACGAAGCCCACTACCCACAACAAGGTCGCACTGTGATCAACAGCTCTTCGACCTTCTACTCTACTATAATCGTTTCTTTCTGTCTATAAAAGGGACAGACACCATTAACCAGCAAACTTTTCAAACCCTATCTAAAAGACGAAAAAAATACAACAGTTACAATCAGCACCTTTTTCTTTCTTGAAATGGTTGAGTTTTTTCTCTCACTTCAAACCTTTCCCTGGTGCAGAAATTGCAAGACCTGGCCAACCAAAGCACTCTCCATCAACTAACCCTCCGTTGCCTTCAACATCGCTTGCTGCTTGCCATGTGTTGCTCCCACTGCTTCCACCACCGGGCCCACCAAGATAACCATTACCAGGATAAGCCCAAACCCCATCAAAACCTGAACCGGCCCCGAATCCGTATCCACCAAGCGTCAAGTACCCTTCTCCCTGGGAGTTCAAGAATGATGTGAAGCCTCCGTTGACGGGAAGGTCCACAGTTTCGTTAAAATTCACGTCAGTCAAAGCCATTTCAGGTTTATTTCCAATTCCAGGCATAACGGGGATAGGGTTAACGACCATAGGAGCAGACTCTGCTTCATGGGTCACGCTCGAGGAAGAAGAAACCGAAACAGAAGAAGAACCAGAAGAACATCGAGATCGTTTGGGAGCTTTGCGGGTCCCACCGCCAACAGGCACATTACGGAGAGTTCCACCTTGAGTCCAGTAACGGCGGCATGCCTTGCAGAAGTAGCGAGGCTGAGAGAGATTGTAGTTGTTGTAGTAGCAGAACTTGGTGTTGGTTGAGTCACACCTGGGACATGGAAGTGGCTCGGTCAGTTTAGGTGGTGGGTGCGACGCCATAATTCCTGGAACTGGAACCTGACTCCTGTCGCCGGAATCAGCAGGCATTTCTTTTTCTTGTTTTAAGGAGTATGGATGGAGAGTTGTGAGCAAAGGTTAATTCTTTGACGGGGAAAAGAGAGGATGAAAGAGAGGGAAATGAGAAACCTGAATAAAATAATGGTTTTTTCGCTGCTATATATATAAACCGATCTAGAACGTGAAACAACAAATAATAATAACTTTAAAAAGCTGACCTTTGTACAATTATTTTAATAAATTAAGCTGACAAGTTCAACAGTAACCAAATTGCCAATTGATTAGAAGAGGAGAGAGATTAATTTGAGTATGTGATCAAGCTTAAACAGCCCTTATAGGTGGAGAAAAACAGAAGCCTTTCAAAGTAGAATGTTAAAGAAGCAGAGGTAGAATAAAAAACTAAAAGTGGATTGAGAATATAATTATGTCGGATACCGTGGGAAACAATAATTGGGTTTGCCTGCTGGCCGGGTACTTTGAACTCTGCCCCTCTTAGCCGGATTTATCAGTTGCCAAGATCTCTTCTCCTTTGATTTTGGCAAATATCTTTATTAGTAAATACGTTGGGGAGTTGTCAGTTTTCATCCTCCTGCAGAGTCTTTAATCGTAACTAGTGTTTCTGCATTTCGATTAGTTTATCCAATTTGTTATTGAAACATAATAGGTAAATGGATTAGGGTTAAGGCTGGTTTTAACAAGCATGAGGTTGTCATTGCTTTGGGTACCTGACTTCACCTGGCCCTGATCCAGTGGATATTTTTCTAGGCCAATCTTTTGCTAGATTTCATCTCCAAATGCAAGTATATTCCAGACATCGAATTTAATCTCGGTCACAAAGAATTACAAGTGTGGCCCATAGACATGCATTAGTTTTGGCAAGAGATTGATGATTCATTAATGCTTCATTTTTTATTAAGAAAATTGTGAGCACTCCCTCTTAATTTCTTGGTTTTAGGATTGCGAACAGAGGATGTAGCTTCTGAGAGGTCAAGCCAACTGTATCAACTTTATTTTCTTCACCATCTTTGAGGCTCCACTCAAATTCCTGCACCAACCTACCAATCGCTGCACAAACGATCAACATTGCCTCTGGAGAACCTGCACACGCCCCTTTCCCGATCCAAAGGCCATTGTCTTGTGTAAATCCAAAGGGTCGTATTTTTCATCAATAAACCTCTCTGGGTTCCACTCTTCAGGGTTGTCCCAATGTTTATTGTCCATGTTACAACCATAGATATTAACAGTAATCTGTTCAAAATATAGTGTCATTTTAATGTCATTCCTTTAGAGGGTAAACGAAGACGATGAATTTAGGTAAAAGAGAAACCAACCTCACTCCCTGCAGGTATATAATACCCTCCGATTTGAGTATCTTCATGAACATATCTTAAAGGAACTAGAGGAGCCGGACTGTACTTCCTAACTTCCTAAGGGTCTCATGGAAAACTGCATCCAAATATCGGGTTTGGGAAAAGTTTTCTTCCTTAACCTTGTTAGAACCACAAACCTTTTCTTTCTCATGATAGAGACGATCCTGTTAAAATTGAAACCAGCAATTCAGAATCTGGTTTTATAGGCAAAAACAACAAAAGGAATTTAGTAATTGAAACAACCTGTGGGGTTGGATCTTTAGCAAGCTGAAACATTACCCACTCTGTTGTGACCAGAGTAGCATATGATGTCTCGATGATTGTTTTCCAGAGTAACATTGCTAGTTGCTCCTTTGTAAGTGTCTTTGCTTCGATTAACATGTAATCAAGATAGCAATTCACTTGCTGTTTAAGAATCCAGCCAACTCATCATAAAAATAAATATAAGGGAAAAACATGGGTAAAAGGATAATTTTTGCCCATGTAATAGACTTAATTTATCACTTTTGCCCCATCGTGTTTTCACGTCAATTTAGTCTTAGAACTTGTTCAATTGCATCATTTTATACCCTACTCTAACTTAAAACCCTAAATCATAAAGACTAAACCCTAAATCACAATCTCATATCCTCTAAAACATAAATCATAACTTAGGGTTATAATTTAGGGTTTTAAGTCAATAATGCAATTGAACAACTTTGAGCGTTAAATTGATGCGAAAATACGATATGGGTGAAAGTGACAAATTAAGTTTATTATAGGAGCAAAGGTGACACTTAAGCTAAAAAAAATGATTCGGGCACTCAGTTAAGAAGAAAAAGACTACTTCCCCTGAATCAATTCGTTTCATCTGGTCCTTGATAAGGGCATTCATCAATGCCATCCTCCTGAAATGCTTTTGCTGGATATTGATTTCGAAACTTTTGTTAGGAATCCATTTCAAGTAGGGGAAGAAATCTCGCCAATCTACGTCTATTGCACCCTCCATCATATCAAGGACTAGAACTCTATCCATCATATCAAGGACTAGAACTCTATGCATCTGTTTTCTCGAGAAAGTTGTGCCAAGTTCCTCCACATAAATCGATTGCACGTCTTTTCCCACACCTGCAATTAATAACAAGGTGTTTGTCACACCATGTGAGAAACAAAGTCATCATCTTTGAATTCCTTTTGGTCCCATATCTTCCGCTAGAAGAAAGGATAAACGAAACTCACTTGCTTCATTGCCAATCCGAAAAGTTCAGACTCAAACACTTCCCCGAAGTTGACAGGTCGGAGAGGATCATCTCTCAGCAAAGCATGAAATTGGCTTATTATATTTTCAACCAAAGTTTCTCTGTGGTGCCGGTGTCGTCTCTGGAAGGAACAATAAGACCAAAAGAGGGGAAAAAAACAAATTGAGTTGATCACAAAGTTTGAAACAACAAAAGTAGAAGATCATAGACCCCATGACTTCTGAATCTGATAGCAAACCTGGGCAGCTGAAACCCAAAGTATTTGTCAGCAAACATCGTTTGGCCATTTTGTGAAAGTCATTGTAGTCGCTTGTTGCAACCATGCATTTATCAAAAGTTAGAACCATCAGGGCATTCGATAGCTTTCTGGTCGAAATGGATGGAAACCTTGTCACCATCAGGGATTCAAATTGCGGTCACGGCAGCGTTGCGTTTATCACGGTCGCGAATATAACAGATGTTATCGCGGTCATTACGGGTATCGCAGACGCAATTTTTTTTAATCCGCACAACTTATTACAAGATATAATAAATTATAATTATAAAAAATTCAATTTTAATGATATTTAGAGTGTTTTCTAACACTTATGAACTTCTTAAAACTTTTATTAATACATGAACATAATTTTTACCATCATTAATTATTCTTGTATTTATTTATAAATTTCTAAAGAATATTATACAAGAAACATAAAATTAAAATTAAAATTTATAAATATAAAACAGTTCATTAATTCTATTATCAATAATATAATACAAAATATAATAAACATTTACTAACAGTGAAGAAAAGTAAGTTTATTGCATATAAATTAATAAATAATAAAAATAGTTTAAGTGTATAAAATTTAAATTCAACATTCAATATCCTAAAATAAATCATAACCATTTAAAAAATTAACCCATAAAATTATCTATTGTTACCCACTTACCAAAAGCAACATATTAAAATTTAAAACTCACAAAACTAAAATAAACCCAACTAAAAACCCATAAAATTATAACCCAAATCTTATTAAATTATTGAGGTTTCTTTTGGTCCAAACCTAAAACATTAAAAGTAAAAAAATATTTAAAATATAAAGCATAAATAAAATAAAATAAAAATTATTAATCCTAAGCCTTCTTCTTCTTCTATCACCTAGGCGAGAGAAGGGAGGCAGAGATGCAAAGCAAAATCAAGAGAAAATTGGACTCACATGTTTGTTTTTCGTTTGTGCTTTTCATCAAAAAGCTTAATTTCTTTTTTTTTTTTGTATGTGTGTTGTTGAAAGCTTCTCCTGCTCTTTCTTTGTTGAAAATAATCAATTGGAACATTGGGTTCCCATGTTTTCCTCTCTTTTTTGTCCAAAAACAGGTCTGGCTCTGGGTATGGTTTTGCCGTTGTTTCTGCTACCAAAGGAGACACCAGAGGTAGAGACAGAGAAGATCAAGCTCCTTTTTCACTTCCTCAATGGGCAGGAAAATGACACGGCCGGTAAGTGTCTACTGTGAATATGGTCCTTTTCCTTCTTTTTTCTTTATTCCAAGCTCTACTTTTCCCTCTAAAAACCCAAACAATCTGTGTGGGTTTTAGTAGTTGACTAGGTGTAACGGGAATAGCAGTCCGTTATTACCGCGATCAGTTGTCACATGTTAAGTTGAGGTCATGATCGGCCGCTATTGGTGTGATTTTGCTTCACATCGCTATTTTAGACAATAACGGTATCGGAGGACGGCGCTACCATGGAATAGCGGCCCGTTTGTGCTCCTCTATTTGAAACCCTGGTCACCATAGCATGTACAACAACCAAAACTAAGATAATACAATAAACTTGAACAACTTCACTAGTAGCATAGAACGTAAATTCTTCCGTCTTAGATGAAGTAAGCAAAGGATAGTGTAAACTGATTTTAAGTAATTTAGAAAAACTAAGCATACACAACAAGGTTCATCCTTTGTTCCAATTCAAAATTTACATTGGTCATGCCAGGTTTAGATAGGGTTTAGGTTATATTCACACACAAAAACTAAATAAGCTCACTTGTATCAGTGTGATAATATTACGTTTATAACATAAAATATTGTGAGCTCCATTGCTAAGGTGAGTATTATTAAAGTTGATTGTTTCTTGAATTTTTGAATTGGTTTTGAGTCTTTGGGTGATATAGAAGTTTAAAAAAGCTTAAAAATAACTAAAAACTATGACATTGATGAGTTAATGATAATTTGGTAAAATGAGTTTTTAAGAGAGTTGAAGAAATTTGGTTAGTATTTGGATTTTAAAAGTATATTTGACTTGCCAAATGTCTGAATAAGATGTTTGAAGTATTAGAAAGGATTGGGAACAAGTTTGAAGAATGGGGTTGATTTTTAGTTTTAAGTGTTCTAGTGAAAATTTTGGTTGTTAAAGGGAATTTAATGGATATAAGGTGGTTGTGATAGGTGTTGTAAGTTTAAGAGTTTGATTGAAGTTAAAAGTATGATAATTAAGTGAGTTTTGGGTGAAATTCGAAGTAAAATGAGTGAATTATGGGCAATGGTATCGATACTGGAAGAACAGTATTGATACTCCATCGATATTGTGTGAATCTGATTAATAGAATTGATACCGAAGTGGTAGTATCGATACTGGGGGTATCGATACCAATAGTAGGGTACTAATACTGTAATTGAAGAGGAAATTCTATAATGCAATTTGGGTATCGACACTGAAGTAAGTATCGGTACCATAGATGAGAAGTATCAGTACTGGGTGTAGAGTATCAATACTATTTAACCTGAAATTTTGAATTAGGTGTTTCATTTAGTTTATGTAGATGTTGATTGTTTAACGATTAATTGAGCTCCAATATTCATATTGATCATGTTAACGTGTAGATTCGATTGAAAGCAAATGTTGAACGAATTGATGTATAAAGATAGTGAGCGAAAGTGAAGAGGATGTTTGCTTAGGGCTTAAGTGAGGCAAATGTGAGTGCAACTTACTTATTTTACACAAGATTATAGGACAGCTTGCGATGAGCCAACATCGAATGTTTTTTAATAGAATGATTTGTATTATGTTATGAAATATATTTTTATATTGATTTATTAAAGGACTTTTATTTATGATTTTGGGTACAAATTACCCAAACTATTTTATATGATAATTTATTTTTATAGCATGTGAATATTTTGGGTGTGAACTGCCCAATACTGGTTTTTATGAGATTTTTATTTTATATGTGATTATATGAATGATTTATATAGAGAACAATAATGATTTTGAATTTCACCCATTGTATGAGTATATGTTCTATGTGAATAATTGATAACTTTAATAATGCTATGTGAAATATTTATATGGTTAAAAGCCCAAAGTATGTGTTATGAGAATTAAAGGTATAATTGGCATGCCAATAGTCGAGGGTTCTACGCAGTCCTTCGGGACAATTCTATGTGGTCTTTCGGGACAATTCTATGCGGTCCTTCGGGACAAATCTATGTGGCACTTCGGTGCAAATTCTACGCGGCAGTTTCGACTGTAATTACAGTGCACAACCTCAAAGTACTCACATACCTTGAGTTCTCAGTGATATACGTTGGGCTATTTAAACAAATTAATATAGATTGAACTGTGTATAATAGAGTATGTAATTTATATGAAATGTATACTATTTTCTTTATTCAACGTTTCTTTTTTCAAAATGTTTAATCCAATGTTTTATTATTTTATTATGCCCATTTATGCCTCACTAAGTCAGAGACTTAGCGTGTGAGTGTTTTCACACGTAGGTTCAAAGGAGTCAGCAGAGTAAGCAAAGGAAGGACAACATATCTTTAAAGAATATCAAATCAGAATGATTTGAATAATATGTGATGTTATTTGAAATTTTGTTGGCGTGTACTATTATGTCTTGTAACTATGTTTTATTAAAGTTATGTACAAATATTCAATATTTGTTTTCATTGTCAAATTTTAGTCGGATTTTCAAATAGTCAAAACGTTGATAAGTCAATGTGACACCTCATATCCGTATCCGGGTCGGGTACGGGTCTGGTGTTAGAAAGACAATTGATCAACTCTTCAGCCACTAATAAGAAGGGTATGTGTGCTTATTCGTCTTCTAAGTCGCTCTATGCTAGGCATCTCAGAGGCAAAAAACTTTATGCTTTTGAAGGAGAAAGAAAGTTAAAAACTGGTAGGAGTAGGAGCACTCTAAAAACATTTTTGGAACTTCTTGGTGTTATATATTGGATATTCATCTATTGTGCCTTGTTGTTAGACTCATGTTAGGAATGTGTTTCAATGACAAACATTAAAATGTAGTATTATTATTTACTTCTTTGCTAGAAAGCTCAAATTGGGTGACTAATGATTTTACACTATTTTAAATAATACCAATGATTCAAAGTTTGATGGTACAAGAATGGATGAAGATTTGTTCTGTAACACCCTGAAACTCGGGTTAGTAGTTCGGGTCAACCCGAGACCCATTTTAGAGCCCAAAATAATTATTAAAAAATATCTTAGACCAAAGCTAAGTGAATTTGGGTTGTGTTGGGCCCAAAAGACTTATATAAGGCGATGATATTCATATGGGCTTGAAAGTATAGGGACCTAAAGTGTAGTTTACCCATTTTATTTCATCTGAAAATCTTCCCCCTTATTTTTATATTTTTCACGTGAACCAAACCCAAAAATATCTTACCAAATACTTTTCTCCTTCTTCCTTCTAGCATTTTCCATTTCTCTTCATTTCAAGAGCTAAGTTTCAAGCAATCCAATCTTAGTTAGCTTGAGCCAAGGTAAGATTATGAATCACCATTCTTCAAGCTTTAATTTAAGCCCCATTTTGCAAGTTTTCCTCTATGGTTTCCAAAATGGGTTTTTGGGAGGTTTAATAAATCCAAGGATTCTAGGTCGTTTTTTGTTAGATTTAGGTTATTGGAAGTATTATAATCCTTATTTTCATTACATAGTCAATTTAGAAACTTCTTTTTCTTATCTTTGATTAGTGAAAGAAATGGGTGAAGCCTCCAAGAAAAAGGGGAAGGAAAAAGCTTCCATTGAGTGAGTTGAAGCTTTGCTTTTAGCCTAGAAATCAAGGTATCCACACTTACAACTTCTCTATACTCTTAGTGGGCCATGTTAATGTATTGAATAGCATAAAGGTAGGAAATAAGCTTATGTATCATATCAATGGTAGATTTTATGTTTTGGAATTTTAAGCATGATATAAACCTTATTTATACCTTTTTTATGACACATAAGACTTTAATCATGTTTGGAGACCTTACAAGGGTCTTTGGGAGTGAGATATAACATTTTTGTGCTTGTTTTTAAGTCTTCTGCAAGTCGATTATCGATACTATAAGGCTAGTATCGATACTTGTTCTTCATTTCTAGGTAGAAATGTGTTTTCTAGGCAGAAGTATCAGTACTCTTTCAAGAGTATCGAAACTTTGGGTCATAGTTTTGAAACTCCCAGAAAGTATCGAAACTAGATAGAAAAGAATTTTTAAAAGTATCAATACTTATATAAAGTATCGAAACTTTTGTAGGTGTATCGATACTCTTGAGCTAGTATCGATACTTTTAGTTTGTTTTGGGCAAAAATAATCGTTTTTAAGGGAATTAGACATGAGATACCCCAATACTTCAGTGTATTATCAAATAAGACTACAAGTGAGAATATTTACGATGTTTAATTTAAACATAGAAACCAAATAATTAGGGTGACATAAAACTAGCCTTGTTGATGCTAGAGAAACAAGTCAGACACCTGAGTTCTTCTAGTTTAGGGTGTCAAAAGTATAGATGCAGTCCAGATATCCATAGGTAGGGCGCAAGGCTGTTAAAATTTACTAGCTAGGGCGCAAGGTCCGACACTCGCAAGGGGTAGACTAGTTGGGGGTGTGGTGTCAAATGCAGTGATTCCAGAGGCCACATCCTCGGTAGACTAGAGGGATCCGTGAGCTCCGAGATATAAAAATCCCTCAGCTGCACCATGATGTCTACCATAGCGTAGAGAGTGAGTATCACAATGATACTCACTAATATTGTATTGATGATGCATTGCATTGTTTTCAGTTATTAAAGCATGTTGTAAATGTACCCTTGTTAGTATATTTTAGTTGTTAGTGTGGCACTGGGCTAGTTAGCTCAGCGTTTGGAATTTGTTTCCTTAATTAGATTAAGTGAAGATCAATAGAGGAGCCTTTTGACTAGAAGAAATCCAGACCAAACAACAGAGCATAGCACGTCTAAAATTTCTAGAGGGCATGTATATTCAAAGTTTTTATTTTGTAAATTTGATTTGTAAATTGTTTTAAATACCTGGTCTGTATATTTTGATTTATTTTGTAATTGTGGGAGCTCCCAACTGTAAACTATTTTACATAGATTTTATTATCTATTTTATTGCAAGTATTTACACATGAAGCTTTAATTTCAAGTGTGTATGATAAAGGAAATTTGTTGGTTAGCCACTTCGGTGGTTCCGTGTGGCACTCTCATTGGTCGACTGTGTGTCGTACTGGTGTAGGGTGTTACAAGTTCATCCCTCGCGCTTTATGTTCTAAAGTGCATCTGACTCAATATGAGAAAACAAATGTTTTATTCAAGGCAGGGAAGCATTAACCAAAGACGGCTTTATGGTGGTTATGAAGCCTACACACGTGTGGAAACGATTTTATATGGTGAAGTTCTTCCCTCAACTTGATTGAGAATTTTGGTAGTATGTGGTTTTGTAAATATCCATTGCTTCTTCATTCAGATTAGATAATGGTGTTAAAACTCAGCCTTGTTTATCATCTTTGTATTTTTGGGTTCATGCAGGCAATCCCTATTGCACGGATGGTTAAACATCTCTGAAGAGAAAACATGGATGTCATTCTACGTATTAACGAGCGTACATGGAGGACCAGACTTAATTATTACAAAGGTCGTGATTCCGGAGGGCTTTGTGGTGGTTGGAAGAGTTTTGCGAGTGACAACAATTTAATAGAACATGACATGTGCGTATTTGAGCCATCTGATATGGGAAGTAAACCTATCGTCCTGGATGTTTGCATCTTTCGGGTTACGGATTAACCAGCTCAAGCATCAGTTTCTCTGACGACAGACCCTTTCACTGAACCGGAAGAACAGTAGAAGCATCATCTCTAGGTACGACTTATATAAATGTTTGATATGTTTTTAAGTTGTAGTTTTAAAAAGTCGGTTAATCTGCCGTGCTACTACTGCCTAATAGAAGCTTTATCTTGTAAATTAGGTATGATGAGATGGTTATCCTTCTGCCATTTACCACGTTTTGGTTTCTGTGAGTTTTGCTGTTAGAGTGGTTTGATTATCATTTATTTTTCTGTCTAAGTTCACTCTAGCTAATCTCTTGTGAAGCGAAACTTCTTAACAGTTAACATACGTATTTACCTGCATGCATTTCATTCAGTTTGATTCATGAACTTCTCATCATGCTATTATATAGTAACACTGTAGTAGCGACTTCACATGTTAAAGTCTGGAGCAAATAATGATACTGCACCTGTCAAAGCAATGCTGGTTTGGTTAGTTTCGGATTGGGTCAATTTCAGGTCGGGTTATGTCAATTTCAGGTCAAGTTGGTCCGAATCACATGGGGTTTGGATTTTTCATTGGATCATTTCGAGTTCAAGATGGATTAGGATAATTTCATGTTTAATGATTTCATTTTAATTTAATATACTAATTATTTTGAATCAATCCTTTTTATAATCAAGTTATTTATATTTTTAGTCGAATATTTTATTAAAATGATAACAAGAATTTACAAGTAATAAATGAAATAAAAAAGTTAAATTAAATGGCTATATATCAGATTCAGATTGTTTGCTTTTATGATAAAATCAAATTTGGATCATATCTTTAAGTTTAGATCATAATTGACAGGTCTAGATGCTACCTACCTCTACCGAGGTACGAAATTTGAGTTTTGTGGCTTTGGCAAAAATCCAACACTAGTGTCAGATAGTTCCAACTTCCAACTTCCAACTTCCAACTTCCAACAATGATCAAACTTTCAAACTACAAAGTAGATCGAAATCCAAAGTAGACAACGGGGCAGCCCCAGGGGAAAACCACAGAAGAAACTTGCCAAGAGAAATTGATGGACAATGAGTGTATCGCTTCAAACATCTAATGGTATATTAGGCCCTAAACTTTGCTACTCATGCTGAGGGTCTTTGGCATGCAGAAAACAATTGCCAACTAATGAAAGCCATCACCAAAGATGTGAATAATTCGAAGCCTACCACCTCTGGAAAGTGCCATCCCAATCCTCGCCTTAGGTAGCTGCTCAAGGAAAATAATTTCCATTTGAGTTATTAATGCAAAAGCCAACATATATATATATAATAAGAAAGAAGAAAGTTGCCGAAAGATGCAGTGACAAAGTTAAAGGAGACCTTGTAATAGATGGCATGGTTGCCACAATTCCAGCACATGCATATATTATGGGAATCAAAGTCTTGGGCTTGTTCTTTCTAAGCCAAATTAAAGATCCCAATGCTGCAAGGGATATACTCAACACCTGAAATGAGAAAAGGATACAGATGTCCAAAGGGAGAGCTATAATTAGAAATTCCACTCTTCATTAGAGAAACGGAAATCTAAAATCCCAATGTTATACAATCACCAGAAACACCTCATGAATAAATCGCCAATACAGATTCAAGGATGTCCAACAAAGCAATTCCAAGAACAGTGTTCCAAGTCCAAGCATAAAAGAAATTAACATACCAAATTAGCATTTGCTTCCAAACCTTGTAGAATGTAATCCCAAGTGAATTCTAGCCCCCTAGCTCCCACCCAAAGAGGTGCCAATCTATGTAGAACAGAATCAGCAAAAGCCCATCCTATCAGCATCGAAAGAAGTAAACCATAGTGCAAATGAATTAAGGTTAGTGAAGAAAAAAACCCAGCAAAATAAACTCTTATCATGGGCAAAACTAGCACTGAACATTCAGAAGAAAAAAAAAAGCTACTGGCAGCACTGCTCTAAAATTAAGGTATTACTTCATGAATACTTCAAAATGGAACAATGAGTGACCTCAAGCTTCTTGAACTGATATCCATCTGAACATTTTATTAATATCATTTATTTGTTATAAAGATCACACTATAACCATAGTTATTCACTCATCAATTATTTGGATGACCTGATGCACGGTGACACCCTTAAGGGTCAAAGCCACAAATTTGAAATGGTGCTCTGTCTTTTCTCTAATTTTCATTTGGAAAGGGGGAGGATGAATTAGGAAGGGTGCAAAACTGAATTTCAACTTTAAAAACTTGAGGCAAAATCTCACTCACCAAGTCCAACAGCTTGAAATTTATGATTTTGAGAGATATTCCTGTGTGTCAACTGTGTTAAGGCAAAATAAAGTCCAGCAACATCTATAAAACCAATCAGCGCTTTCAGAATTTCCTGAAATTGCACAAGCAACAATTTCTCCATGAGTTTAAAATGTATACTATTCATAAGAACCCATGACAGTATTACAATCCATATCTCTAAAAGACCCTTATGCAACTGGAGTTAAGAAAGTTGGTTTTCACATTCGGTTCTAGCTAATAACATCATCAAATCAAACTGCCACTAACTACAACAAAAACTGGAATCATTTACAATTAGAGCAACAATGCATCCATCCATCCATGCAGATTCCAATAATTTCAGAAAGGGGAAAAAAAAGAAATACTTGATATGGGTCAAAGCCATCGTTCTCAGACACCTGCAAAAACGTTGCAAGGCAAACAAGCTGCCAGCATAGAAAGAAACAATTCAAATTAACTATCCAAAAACACTAGATTTAAACAGCAATGAGATTGAGATTTATCACAGAAATTAGGGACGCTGATATTTTCAAGCTGTGCTGACCTTTACCAAAGCTGTTCCTAGATAAACAAGGGCAGCTTTAACAGAGGTACCAAGAGTATCATACTCTGATCTGCATAAGCATAAATCATTATAAATTACACTGATTTGTATACGAAACAGTAGTACAGTACTATACTTTAGTAGAAAATATCAATCTCCCCCAACAAATTTCACTAACTAAATTCTAAAAAATCAACTACCTAATAGTATAATTTTTCCACTAAGCCTAATTACTTCCAACTTATAGGCTTATAGCTGCCGAACATTTTAATCAAAATCTTTTAACATTTTTTAGAACAAATCTTAGCTCGTTTTTTCTTATTGTAGATAGATCTGTTCTTAAAAGAACAAGACAAATCTTTTTCCACCGATACTTTTTTTCCTAGTCTCAACATAGATCAAAGTTTAAGTTCTAAGTAAAGCTCACTTCTATAGAAAAATAAGAAATTGCAGATGCTATAAAAAATAAATATATCACAAATTACATAAAAAAAAATAGGTAGAGGTCGAGTAAAAGGGGAGGCGGAACGTACAGGGGAGTGGCGGAGTAGTAGACGGCGTGTGGACCGAAGGTGAGAATGGCACAGTTGAAGAAGTGAAACATCGTCATTTTCCCTTTTCCCAGTGTTTTTGCAAGTTTCAATTCCAGGTTTCAATATTTTGCGATGTTTTGGTCGTCCTCTTCAACTTAAAATCGGATCGAGAATGAGTGATCTGTTTTTCAAGTGGGCTGCTAAAGAACCCGTTATATTTCGAGCCCTGAAGAAGCTATTCAGGATTTTCGGCTAAATAGCATGTTTAAATTTAATTATAGAATTCTAATAAATGTTTTGAATTGTAAAACAACATTTCCCGTAATTTATTAAGGACGAATTCCTAGGAATCAAATTCTTGCCAAAACATCAAGGTTATGGATAATAAGGACTTGGTATAGATGCTATATGTTTTGATATTTATACTAGAAGCCCAGAATCACAGAAAAATAAAATCCTATTTGAGTTAGAACTCCAATGTTTTATACAATAGAAATCCAATTTGATTTTGTTTGGGATCGATTCTAGGGCTATATATACCCCCATCAAATGTTTTATATATTTTTAAGGTTTTTAGAATACTATAAATACTCATTGGGGTAAGCCTAATGGAAGAATCCTCTTTAGCTTAATAAAAATTCTTTTCTTTTATTTTCGTTTTATTTAATTTTCTTTCAAGCTGAGGGCTAAAGCGATGACTCAATTCCAACGTGAGAATTGAAAAGCACTTGAATAACTTCGGAATATCTTTCTCAATCTTTGCGTTTATTTTCAAAATCAAAACAATTTTAAATATCAAAGATTGGATTTGGTCAAGATGTTGTTGCGATTAAATGTGTGGAAGAAATTATCGGCTTATTGAAAGCACATTCGACTTCTTGGGAACACACTTGGCAAGATTGTCTTGCTAAGAGGGAATTGAGATTGAAATTAGTAGTTATTGAAACAACAATCCGAGTCGGTCTTCACAAACTTAAACGATTATTGATCTACGACAATTGATGTTGATCAGATCAATTAACGAAGCCGGAATCAAAGATTTCCTTGGGTATTCGGTATACAAAGAAGAGTCACGAGGATTACCCTTGTTGACAAAGTAACCGACGTGAATCCCGAAGGGAAAATCTAATTCGATGATCCGAATGAAATTGAGTCAAAACGGAAGCCTAATGTTTATTTTACCATATTAAATTTTCTTTTAAACTTTCTTTTTAAATTTCTTTTTAATCTTCTTTGAAATCTTTTTATTTTTCTTTCTTCTATTTTATTTATCTTCATGTATAAATCCCCACATTTACTTAAATTCTACTCCATCCACTTCAAAGATTAAACAAAGATCAAACAAAGCACGAATAAATAAGGAAGTTTCCTTAGTCTCTGTAGGATCGACCCTTACTTCTTTTTTACTATGTTAAATTTCCTTTATTTATAAATTGGGAAGAAAGAATTATTTTTTACGCGAAAAACGACCATGTCAGCTAACTCAGCCAAAACCTCTCAAAGATATTGGTATTAAATGATTGAAAGAAAACTTTATTAGCTTTGGAGAATGGTTTAAAGGTTTGCTTCAATTGATGGATGGATAGATGCCTTTAGCAAATGGCTAAGGCTTCTTTATGTAGCATTCCACCTCCTCAAGGGACGGTGGAGATTAGTTTAATCTTACAATCTATATTTTGCATTTAGAACTTTCTATATAGATCTAGAATAATCTAGGCTTAAGGGAATTCTCCAAAAGCTATAGAATCTTCCATAAGCTTCCCCAACATTCTTGAATCTTCTTCCTAGTTCCATAACCTTTTATGATGTTCTAGAACCTTCCACAATGTTCTAGAACATTCTATAGTATTCTAAAATGTTCCATAATATTCTAGAACTTTCCATAATATTCTTGATCATTTCCTTGTGTTCTAGAACTATCAATTATATTCTAGAACACTCCATAATCATCTCCAAAATTCTAGTTAAGCCTAAAAATATAGGTGGAGAGATTTAGTTTGTGACATCAAACAGAGGAGAGAAATGAGACATTCAAATTGAGAGAAATAGGAAGAAAACATGGTTAAAAAAAGAAATAGGAAATTATCGGTAAACAAAAAAAAGAAAAATATACTTTTATAAGGAATCAAAACGATGTTGTTTAGGTATAAATTTATTTTTTAGGGATTCAAAACGATATTGTTTAGATGTAAGTTGTTATGTCATAATGCAGTTAATTATCTAACGACAGAGTGATAAAAAAAATTCAATCATCAAAGTTTATTGAGTAAATTGAAAAAAAATTAAAGTTTAGTGACCAAAATGGGAGAGAGAAGAAAGTTCAGTTACGATTTATGTAGTTTACCCCAATTTTAAATGCATGATATAACACATTACTAATTAATTTTTTAACTCTACAGACCAAGCCGGTTAAAAGAATTGTTACTTGATTCATTTATTTATTTTCAGATATTATAAATAAAATCTTAAAAACCATGACACGTAAACTCAATGGAGTGGTTATTTTTCTGTTCTATATCTGTTTGTTCTCTAGTTTATTGTTTTATCAGATTTCTTTTCCTTTTCTGTCTCTATTTTATTAGTGTTATTATTAATTTTTCTGTTGTTGCAGTTGTTCCTTTCTGCTTCCCTGTCTCACCTTTCATAGCTGTCAGCTGCTTATATATATTTTTAATGGAAAGGGTAAATTCAATGGACTGAATATTTTCTTGTGAAATTTGTTCCAACTTATAATAAAATTTGATGGATTTATGAAATGCATAAATAAATTGGATCAACGCATTTTATAAAACATTACATGATTCATATTTTACTGAATATATGGGCAGATCAACCTTTTATTTGAATGAAAAGCAAATGACAGATTGCGAAACGATATCGTGGGCATAAGATGTCGACATATATGTTTGGCAAATGAAGGGCAAGCTGAGACTTATTGGTGGCAAGAATTTGTGCCTATGAAAGTGAATGCTCAGAATCTCAGCCACCACACAATACTCTATTTGTGAATTGCTTTAACCTTAAAGCTAATGTCTGGGTGTTTGCTTTCCACTATATTAACCTAATATACCCTTTTCATTTGTTGGGTTATGTTTTAGTGTATGATAATCTTCAAAACTCAATCTTGAGATGTTTACTTAATGCATTTATCTGCAGAATTCGCAGCTGTTGAATCAGATTTTTTTTTTTTAAAAAAAAGGGTCATTAATGAAATATATATATATATATATATATATATATATATGTTCATTGTGCAGTTGGAGACAAAGGGAACTTGGTATGTTGGCATTCAATCTTATTCTCAAGGCAGAAACAGGACATTGGCATTCAATTACATGAAAGTGACAGAGCAGCTAATTTAGGTTTTGGCATGTATCGCAAAACTATGAGCTAGCTTCAACCATGGGATATTGAACACAGTATAGCCATGGTGATCTGTTTCTTTCCATCATTAACAAGTGAAAAACATTAGAGAAAAAGGGTTTTCATGGTGCTCGTGTACAAGTAACACAAATTTCTAACGAGCTCTGACAAAGAAAATACTCAGTTCTGGCCCAGGTGCACCATCTAGATTAATCATGTACAATGCTTCCGTGTCCTTTGATCCGACTACCCTCTCAAATCTTGCTCTCATATAAGTCAATTCCCCGTCGGATGTCACCGTTTCCTTCTCATTCGGGCTGGGAAGAACCCCGGCACCCATCGACACGCCTCGCAGGAGCTGCATAACGTGAAGTTCATCGTCGGACAATTGTTTCCTCCTGATGGAGTATCCCACTTTTCTTCCATTACAGTACACCGCCCACACAAACTCTTCCAGCAGCTGCTTCTTGTGAGTCTTGGTTCCACTCTCTAGAGCTATTCTGATGATATCAGACGCCATTTCCTTTTGAAGTAAGCTGGTGAGCATCGGTAGCTCGATGACAAACATGGGCACGCAATGGGGATCGTCCTGTATTGCTAAGCAAACTCTGCCTTTACGATACCCGAAAATCGTACCTGTGGTGGCACTATCCTTGAGCAAAGGCTTCCTAGGCCTACCCAACAGCGCATCCATCTTGCAGCCCGAGGTTAGCATGGGGAAAAGCTTGAACATACGCATGAGGCCTCCACTACTAGACTTAAGGGGCTTCTCTCCTGGAGTAGGCCGGAGAAAAGACAGTATCGCCGGATTGTCCATTTGCAAATATGGACTAGAGTGAACCGTTGGCATTATTGGACTTTGTTTGAACTTTGAAGCAATAACCAAATCAAGAAGCTAGAAGGAAGCTATTCTGAGTTGAACTTCAAGGGGTAAACTACATAGAGGGAAATAAAAGGAGTGAGGTAGGTGGCTGGTCACTTGGATTTGATTGTCCTCGGAATCTTTGAGGTGGGGAAGGGAACAGAAGAGAGCCTACTAGTTGGTTAAGATAACAGGGGAAAAGAAAATGAGATTGAAGGTTGATGTGACCAAGTTTAGTGATGGAAAACAGAGGGGGTTGAACTTGACTACGATAAGAAAGGGAGGTCGGACCACAAGTTGTGGGGGAGAAATGGGATGATAAAAAAAAGAGTATGGTATTTTTGGGTTTTCTAGCATGTGCATCTCTGATCATTACATAGGGCATCAACATCACTTGATTTATGGTTTTCCCAAACCCCATCACTAACTCTTCACTAATTTGTTGAGCCGCATTAGCTCAATTTCACCCCCCCCCCCTTTTTGTTTGTCCCTCAGTTTCTTTTATCCTTTTTTATTTTGATAGGAACCATGGTCTCATTTGATAGATGCATTTCATGCAGCAGTACAACTGAAACATAGATGAATAATGATGCCCTCTCGAAAATTCCTTCATTTTTTTGTTTCTTAATGTAATAATGATAATGTTTTTGTAGTAAAAGTGCACCCCTTTCTGGCTTACAACTAAACTGATTAGAGTTGATCCAATGACTTCAATTACAACACTAGTAAAATACTTGAGACTGTTTGAAGATGAATCATAAAAAAGACCATTATCAATAAAGCTAAGCTGAAATGATAGATAAGACGTGTTTCAGGCGTGATAAATCATTTGAAAATGATGTTCATTACTTGTAGTTACTTCCCAAGTCCCATATGTGATTTGTTTCTATTTTTTTGTTTAGACTGTGTGAATCGAGTTTGATATGATTGTATCCAAATCAGGAAGTTTGATTTTCAAATGGAATAAAGTAATAGGGAAATGATTCTAAATCAGAATGCCCGCCATGTAATTATTGCGCCAATCATGGGACCCTCTCACTTTGCTTCAAGTTCTACGTAACTAGTGGCTCTTCTACCTTTATTTGCCATCACTCGCTTCTTTGTTAAGAACTGAAACCTGTCACTGTAGTTGATGGACCCAGAAAAGGAAAGGAGGCCCTACAGTTGAGCTCTGTGAAAATTTAAACTACTTTGTTCTTAATGATATGTTTAATTTGAGGTTCAGGAAAGGACTAAATAGTTGGCACCAGACAAAAGCTTTTGAAGCATTTGTTGGAAGCAAATCGCACTGAAACGCTAAAAGGGAAGTCTATATGCTGCATATATTCGTATTTTTGCAGGCTTAATTCTCAGAACCAGATGATTTAAATCTGGTGCTGTTTTTCCCGACCCCCCCTCCTTTTTGGTTGGGTATTTTATATCATTACAGTTAATATGTAACAAGTGTGTGTGGTTTGGTCCCAACTCTATCAAACTACATCTAAAAAACCTCCATTAAACTAGCTAGTTAATCATGCATTGTTAGGTAGAAAGCTTAACATAACCATCTTCATTAACACTAGAAATGCACTACTTCTATGACATAATCATAAATGCACTAGTTCTATAACATAATCATCTACATTAACTGTAGAAATGCACTACTTCTATAACATATCCATCTTCATTTGAATATGATGTTACAGCCTAGACTCCAAGGCTTTGGTTAAATATTGAAATTATATCAATGTTTTGGTCCAATCCCTAAACACTTTGAAGTAAGATGACCTAAAACTGCTAATATAAATTTAATAATTTTTTAAGGAAATTTTAGTAGCTTTTAATATAACAAGAATATTCCTATGCTTTGTGGTTAAAGATTTAAATAATTGACTTCCTTGAATTGGAAGATTGTCATTAAAATAATTTAAATATGAATTTCCGTTAAAATGTAATATTTTTTTAACCTAATAAACACCAATCCCTTCATCCATAGGGTTGGGTTTGATTCCCTTCACTCTCAATAACACAGCGTATTTACTTCGTTTTTGTAAAAAAAAACAGTTTGACTATCAAAGTAAAAAAAAATTATTGATATAGTTTAGAGAAGAAGAAAAAATCTTTAAGTTGACGACAACTATTTTATTATTAATACGTTATCTAAAATTTAAAAACAATTATGTCTTTATTAAAATGTTGTTATCAATTTTTTATATAGATTTTAATATATTTTTAAATATTTAATAACATGATAAAAAAATAAGTAACATCAATATTTAAATAAAGATAAAATGCCATTAGTATTATATTATACTTGAGACAATTTGATAGAAAATAGAAGTTGAGAGCCAAGAAGAACGTAAAAAGAAAATAAGAACTAAACTAATTAAAACTAGGGGTGAAAAATATTATACATTTATTTAAAATGAATAAAAACAAATAAATAAATATGAACATGAATTTAAAATTCAGTTAACATAAACATTATATGATTTATTCTTAGAAATATAATATAGAAAAAAAATCCTATAGTTTAATTGAAATTTATTTTTACATTGAACTCCATCTTATTTATGGCCTAAATTAACCTTGATGAAAATTAAGTAAAAGGGCATGTGAAGTCTCCTCGTACTTTTTTTAAAAAATCAACATGTCTCTCTTTTTTTTTTACATGTAATGTGTCCCTTAAACTTAGAAAACAGATTAAGGCTTAGTTTGTTTTCACTGTGCAACCTCTTCAAACCTCTTATGTTTGCGCCGCGCAGATCACGCGCAGACATTAGGCTTCGCAGACCGTTTGTTTTTTAGAAGACAGAAGCTCTTCAAACGTCTGCGCGAGCTCTTCTTGGTGCAGACATGGTTTTATATCTTCAAAGATCTTCAAAGGTCTGCGAGAAAATTAAAATCATTTAAATCTATTTTAAAATTTATTTTAAAATATAGATTGATTTATTTTAAAATATGAATTGATTTATTTTAAAATATGAAAAATTTTATTTTAAAATATGCATTGATTTATTTTAAAATATGAATTGATTTATTTTAAAATAGATTGATTTATTTTAAAATATGGATTGATTTGTTTTAAAATATAGATTGATTTATTTTAAAATATAGATTGATTTATTTTAAAATATGGATTGATTTATTTTAAAATATGGATTGATTTATTTTAAAATATGAATTTATTTATTTTAAATTATGGATTGATTTATTTTAAAATATGGATTGATTTATTTAAAAAAAATTATTATTGTATTTGTATGGATTATTTAAATTTCAGTATTATAAAACTAAAATTATTTAAATTTAAGTATTGCAAAACTCTTTTAAGTTTAAAAAATCAATTTATTTTATATTTCAGTTTATTTTAGCCAGACGTTAAAAAACAAACAATTTTCTTCTTGCATATTGCAGACTTTTGGTCTACCTCTTCTGCTGCAGATGTTTGCAGATGTGGTCCGCAGACTGCAGACCTTTTATCTCTTCAAAAACAAACACCACCTAAATGTGATCATTTAACCAACAGTTTTTATCGTTGATCATTACAGTATTGACGTAGCACTTCATGTTGTTGACGCGGTAATCCACCATGATTGGTGGCGTGGTTGATAAACTAAATTAATTTTTTGATCTATTTGAAGGTGAAAATTGATTTTTTTTATAAAATTCATGGGCTTATTTTTCAGAAAAAAAAACATATTAAATTTTTAATTTAAACTATAAAAAAATAAAATATTAAAATATTAAAAATAAAAATTAAATTACTGAAAAAGTTATATATATATTTTTGGTACAAAAATTTTAATGTTTATATTTTAATTTTTATATTTTATTTATATTCACTAAAATGTTCTTTTTAATTGTATAATTATTTTTCGAATACTTTTCTAATTATATATTTTATGATAATTTGTACATAAATTTTAATTTTATAATTTTGAAAATTTATTTTTATAAGACTTTATATTACTTATTTAATTCAATTCTATAAAATTTTAGTGAAATCGAATTAGAAAGGCATTTAGATTTTGATATAATTAGAAGTAAATATATAAAATAAAATTTATGTTCGATGGACAAATTCATGTTTATATAAATAAAAATCAAGTTAATTTTTAGGTAAAATATAATAATATATTTTAATTTTTAATAATTTAATTTTTCATTTTTATTTTTGATATTTTATATTTATTTTTGATAAATATTTTTATATTTTAAATAAAAAATTTTATTTTTTCCTAAATAATCAAATAAGTCCATAAACTTTTAGAAAAAAAAAATCTAATTTGATATTGGAACTCAATAAAAAATAAATTTAGCTTGTCTGTCACATCATCAGTCACATCATTAGTTATTTTGAATTATTACATCAATATTATAAAATGTCACATTAATACCGTAATGATCAACGATTGAAATTGTTGATTAAAGAGTCAAATTTGATGTGTTTTCTAAGTTTGAAGATCACGTTAAATGTAAAAATCATATAAAAATATAAAAATTAAATAATTTTAAAAATTGCGAGGACTTCATATACTCTTTAGCCTAAAATGTAGAGAGACGGATAAAGTAGAAATTGCTTTTATATAAGCCATAAGGGTCTAGATTTGGATGTGCTTTTGGTATGCATGGCTGGCCGACAATAGATATTGGTAAAGATTGGAGAGCATCTTATTTTATAATAGGATAAATTATATCATTGACCACTCAATTATGTAGTCATTTAACTTTTGTCATCAAACTTTTAATTTTGTCAATCAAATTTAATTATTTAAATATATTCAATCAAGCCACTAATCATTAATGGTTGACAGAAATACTGACGTGGCTGTTAAAGGTTATATTGTGACATGTGTCACAACATGATTGAAAGGTATTTTTAAAATTTAATTATTTTATTGGAAAATTGAGAGTAGAAGAAAACCCCGATAGAGGAGGTTAGAGGAATTGAACCTAGACAAAGTTGGATACTTAGCAAACGCCTAAACCACCAATCCAGAAGCAATGCTTAGTATTAAAATATAACATATAATATATAAGATATTGTAATGAATGAGAAAAAAGTTAAAAAAGAAGAATTGTTGTTTAATTTAAAAATAATTTAATGATTATATATATATAAATAGTGTTGTTGTTAAAATTTATCAAATAATTTAAATTTTAAATAATTTTGAGTTAAATTTTTTAAAATAATTTTATAAATATTATAATAGAAATAAATTAATTTATATACATATAATCATTAGTAAGAAAATTAAAATTATTACTTAAGTTACAAAAGTGAATTTAATGATTATATATATACATATATATTTGTTGTTAATTTTATCAAATAATTTTATATATTTGTTAAAAAATAAATTGAATTATATATATATATATATATATGAGATTA